TGGGGTTGAACTGGGCTGGGGGGGGGAGATGGGGACCCCCAGGCAGAACAGAGGTGCGGGGGTCTCACCGGGGTGCAGAGAGTACGGGACCCCCTGGAACGCAGGGATGCGGGAGGGTTGGGGATGTCGGGGGTGCAGGTGTTGCTCCGTGGTGTAAGGGGCCCAGGGGATGCCCACAGGGATGCGAGGGGCCTGAGGGACCCCGGGGGCGCCCATGGGTGCAGGGGGGTGTGGGGACACTCCAGGGGTGCAGAGGGCCTGGGAGCCCTATTTGCAGGGGCCCTGTCTTGCTCCAGTGCCAGTACGAGGAGTCCCGTGGGGAGCTCCCTGTCTGGCGGGGGGTTTAACGTGCCCGGGGGAGCCCGTGGTGCCTCCCCAGGACAGCCCCTGGGCAGGGCTGTGGTGAGATGCCCCGGGCAGAAGTGGGTTCCCTGGTACCTTGCTGCCTGTACCCCTCAGCCAGGCCTAACAACTCCCAGGGCTGTTTTCTGTGCCCCAAAATTGCTTGCACTTTGCTCTTCTCACCTTTGCTCTGGCCAAAGCATTGTGGGGACAGCCCCTTGGCCATGTCTGGTCCCTGCGGGCTCCCACCACCTTGAGACCATTTCCAAACGTGGGTTCTGGATGGGGTCACACCAACCCACAGGACGTGTGGCCAGGCAGGAATTTGGGGGGGGTCCTCACGTACAGCCATTTCTGATGCATGTGGAAATCTTGAGCAGCTGTTGAGTCCAAGGATGGTGCTGCTGTGGAGCAGTTTGGGAATCTAACCCCATGACTGATAGAACAAGCAAAAAAAGTTGCTGCTGTTGGTGAGAAGATGCTTTAGATCTTGTGCTTGGGTCTAGTGGTGTAGCTGCTCCAAGTGACCAGCTGTGGGGGGTGTGAAGTGTAGTACGAGGAGGAGCAGGTCATGTGTTCCCTTTGCTCACCTGACTTTTCTCCTCTTCCTGCAGGAGGAGGATTGCTGGATGAAGGCCGACCGTAGGACTCTGAGCCAGATGTCAGAGAAAAGTTGGCTTTCTGTGTGAGGACCTCACGCAGCATCCGCAAGTGCCCTTCCCCTTTGTGGCTCCTGGAGGTGCCGAGGTCCCCGTGCAGACATGGCATTCAGACGGACAGAGGGAATGTCCATCATCCAGGCCTTGGCAATGACCGTGGCAGAGATCCCCGTGTTTGTTTACACGACGTTTGGGCAGGTACAACAAGCAGGAGAAGCTTTTCTGTCAGGTTCCTTGGGTTTTCTCTGTGGGGGTCATCTGTAGAGAGAGAAGGGTCTGTGTTAGTTGTGAGGGGCAGAGGCACAACAGGGTAATGCTGGGGGACCTGGACAATTTTAGGGTTTGTAAGAGAGAGTTGGGGATGGTGGGAGAGAGTTGCTCAGGGTGGGCTTGAAGAGGGGAGAGAAGGAGACCCGCATGAGTCTCTGGGAGAACACCTGGGTTCAACCTTTCTCCTCTTCAAAAGCGCTAAAAAAAGACTTTTGTTTTAAAGAGGATCAATATATTTCCCATTTGTGGTATTGCAACACTTGAGGCAATAAAGCTCAGCTACGTACCAGGGTTTGGAAGCTGAATTTGGGTAACCCCGACTGTGTCTGCTCCAGGCTGTGTGCAGATTTTGCAGTGCGTTTTGGTGATGAGGGCTGAGACCACGTTCTCTAGGTTCTGTCAAAACGATGCTCTGCAGTTTCACTGCTGCTAAGTCTTAGTTGTTTAGCAGGGGCTGTGTTTTGTGGGCAGGAGGGGGAATGTCAAGGTGTCTTATGTTTAAAACTGCTGAAAAAGGGTGGTGGACTTGGTTTTTTTCATTGTTCCTCTTTCATATCTTTTGTGTTTAAAGTCTGTCTTCTCTCAGCTGCGGCTCTCTCCAGGCCTGCGTAAGGTGCTGTTTGCTACAGCTCTCGGGACGGTTGCGTTGGCTCTTGCAGCTCATCAGCTGAAGCGCCGTCGTCGTCGAAAGAAGCAGATTGCTCCGGAGAAGTGTGGCTTTAAGCCTGGAGGGATCACGGTGCCCATCTTGCCAACCAGAAGGGTCTCCTCTGTGAAGAAAGGTCGGCCTTGCAAAAAGGGAAAAAAAATCCCCAAAAGCCTTTTGTGAGGGAGCAAAGAGGGTGTACATGGGAAGTTCCTGATGGCTGGGGGGAGAGGGGAGCAAAGCCATTTGTGTAGTGCATCGGTGCAGAATGAAATTAGGAGCCTGAAGCACAGTGCCATGGACACAGGGTTGGTGGAGGAAAAGGGGGAGACCCCGAGCTCAAACCCTTGCAAGAAAAAAGTGATGCTGAGGTTTCACCAAGGTTTGCAGTTCCCATCCCCCTGCCTAAGGGAAGGCTGTGGAGCTGTTACGCCACGCTTCCCCCGATAATAACAACCCGGGGCATGCGGTGACCTGGTTGTGTATTGATCTCGGTGATGACATTATGATGCCTGACCCAGGGGTCCTCCACGCAGCCCCGTCGGTGAGGTTGGGTGGCAGAGGAGAGGGTGGCCTGGGCCAGGCTGGGGAGTCAGGAGTGTCCATCCAGCTCTGTGGCACCTGGACCTTGGGCAGCTTTTTCACTCCCTTATATTGATTTTTGGGGTAAGACTGACCCCAGGTGTACTCAGCAAAGCACTTTAGGGATTAAATGTTTGTTATGAAAACTTGCAGTGTTTTCACTAATAACCAAGAGAGCGATGTCCGCGCTCTGCCTGGCCTGAGGGAAGCTGGAGGAGTTTCTCCCTCATGCTTTCCACTTGTGCTTGCCTCCTGCCATCCATGAGCGGTGAATAAATATTCATTTCTCAGCCTCAGATCCTCACTGATACCTGCTTTTTTAGTGTCTCAGAGCAAAATAGAGCATACAGGAGATCCATGACTCATTTCTAGGTACTGGATGCTGCTTTGCCCGTGTGCAGTCATGCTTGACAGGGTGATATTGCCCCTCCTTATTCACAGCTGCAGTGGATCAGGCCTAAAATCCTATTTATTTATTGTGTGATATTCCCAACTGCAGGATACTCCAGCAAGAGAGTCCAGAGTCCTGGCAGCAAGAGCAATGACACGCTCAGTGGGATTTCCTCCATTGAGCCCAGCAAACATTCCAGTTCTTCCCACAGCCTTGCCTCGGTAAGGACCTTCTCAGCTGGGCTGGGAGAAGTAGGGCTGGGAGATGGGAGTGTACCTACCTGTAACAAGATCACAAAGTCCTTGGGCTTGTGCTGGCCAAAGCTTTCAGAGCAGAACAGGATATCACATAATTGGAGGGTGGGTTCTGCTATTAACCTTGCAGTGACTGACTGGAGTTGCCTGTGTGAAGTCAGAGCAGCATTTTCCTATGGCCAAGAGCCCCAGGGTACATCCCACTTTTCTGGCCAACGAGGGGCTACAGGAGGGTCTTGTCTGTGGGACATGGCTGTGATTCCTCAAAGAGCAAGGCTGGGATGTCGTTGGGTCTTGTAGCAATGGGGAGCTTGTTTGCTCCTCTCCATGGTGGGGGTTTGGGTGGCCCAGCAGCCCCTGTGCCAGCCCTCCTGTCCTGGGGCTGCTCACAGGTTGCTTGGTTGTTAAATCCAAGTTAACTACCAAAATTGGATAACTCTGATTGAGAAACAGTGCAGGTTGAGCACACAGCCTAGCTGTTCTACCTCCTCCAAAGCCAAAAGCAGCCTATAAATACAGGTAATTCAGGCTTGACTACGCAGGGGAAGCCATCGCTGCTTTTATCCTCCTCTTGTCAGACCCAACACAGAAGGATATTGAGGAGCGTTTCTGGCTTTGAGACCGGTTTTGCATCCCCATTGCTCAAAGCCTCACATGCTGCTGCTGGAGCAGTGGGTGGAACAAGCCAACCTCTGCACCTTTGTGCGCTGTGATTTACGGTGAAACACCCCCTTGGTGTCACCCATCAGAGCACCCGGCCTCGGTGGCTGGTTAGCAATGCTGGGGTGGGAAGGGGAAAGATCACCCCTTTGAGGGAAGCTGTTGCCCAGCAGCCCCCTACAGCACGTGCAGGCTTTGCTGTATTTTGGCTTGTTCTGCACGGTTGAAGCACCAGAAAGTTGCCAAAAATCTGTGCTGGCCAAAGTGTTGTCTCCAGCAGGCGGCAGTGCCGGCGCGGCGCTGGGCGTGCAGCCCTGCACCAGTATTCCCCTGGGGTAACTGGGATAGGATGGGATGTGTCAGCGTTATCCAAGCTGTGTCCAGCTCTGGCCACCTCCTTCCCCCTGCGGGGACTCTCATGTCCATTTAATTCCCTTGTGGCTTCTCCCTTCCCACAGATGCTGTCCGGGTTTTATATTGATGAAGTTTGTTTCTCTTTAGACAGTGTTTTTTGGTTTTTGTTTTTTAATCTAAATTTCTTTTTCCACTGCTGGTGCATGGGTGGGGATATCCACATGGAGAGGGACCTGTTCTCGTGCCCCTGTCATTATGTGGGAGCTGAGTGTCTGTGA